AGGGGTACAAATACATGTAGAATGGATAAAACCCCAGATATTAGTATGATATGGGTAAGTTGGATTGTGATACAGTAAAAGTAAGGTGAACAAAATGTAAATTGAGAACTTGTTTTAAATCATGACAAAACTGACAGACTGTGTTATTTATCAGCAGAATATATCCCAAGGGAAAGTGGCAAAAGTTTCCTGACAAAAATGGACAAAGCAAAGCTTTGCTCATTTGTATCATGTGGTAAAGGATGGCACTGTGAGAGATGCTTATGATAAAGAGGTTTTGATTTGTTTCTGCTTTCAGTGGTTGTGCAAAGGATTCAAACACAAAAGTAATCAAATGTAAGTCAGTGAGGAAAAAGGAACTTATTTAAACTCTGAAAACACATAAAACCTGGTGGATTATAGTAATAACAGGAAGGAAAAAAAAAAAAGAACCAGAAGGGCAACTTCACACTCATTTGTATTTACTGTTGTCTGTGAAAGGCACACACAGATTTAGATTTGGCCTTTGAGTTAGCTGTGGCTGTCCTGTTAATTTAAGAGATGGTAAAGGTATCTATCCCTTTACTTCCCTCGCAAATATTTTACAAGGAGCAAGCAAGAAAATACGTCTAAATCACCTCATGTATGTCTCATGTTTAATTTTATTTCTTCCCCCACTGTAAATCGTGCCTCTTTCTGCACAAGTGTTGTTATTGTGGAGCCACTGTAGGTCTATTCTGCAAATTTGTCTCACTTCTTTCCTACAGGATTAGTGCCCACCAGAGCACATACCATGGTGGGTTACATATATTCAGTGGGATTACCACTGATGATGAGATGGCCAAGAGATACAGCTTGTTGCTAGAAACCTGAGAGAGAGAGGGCAATGAAAGCCGTATCTGCTATAGCTCATCTAATTAAAGTTTTTCTCATGTGTTTGTTTCATTTAACTAAAATTCCTTCTTCAAACTTGCATTTTAAACTGATATAAATTTCTAAGCCCTGCCTGCAAAATATATTCCTGTAACCTGGCATCAATGACACCATTTTGTCAGTAATGCTCATAGCAGAGCAGGGAACTCTCAAGCTCTTCATGTGATGGCAGTAGCTTGGAAAAAAAGCAGCAGTTTTTAAAGTGGTGAGAAACTGTGCAAAATAGCAAGGGTTTTTCTTAAATTCCAGAAAGTGCCAGAAGTGAGGGTGCTAACCTGTGCATTTCTGTTGTTAAATAGCACCAGGGTAATCTGGGACTTGCTCTTCCATGTTACTGGTGTCTGCTCTTGTTGCCCTTGCTGCGTGCAGAGACCCAGAGCAGCTTTCCAGCATGAGCACAGATCTCCAACTCGGTCCTGACAAGGTCTTCAGTATTTCCTTGCTTCTTAGTTTATTTCCCAAGCCAAAGTGCTGTCAAACCAGAACCCTCTTAATACTGAATGAGATTGGATATACTTATCGTGCCCTTCTTGTCTTGCTGCTTTTTTTTAAACCTGTTGTGTATTGCAAGTAAGCATATGTCCCAGGAGACTTCCTCAAACTTGCTTTGTGAAATCAAGCATGATTATATAGCCAGAATCAGCATGAGTATGTCCCATTAGCTTGGGCTTTCCCTTAGCTGTGAGGGCTGTGAGTGGGTTGCAAAGAAACATTCAGTAAATTTTGAAGCGTAACTGAAGCCACATCAATATCTGGCAAAAAAAGTATGTGAGCAGGCGTGACTTGCAGGCAGCACATGTTAAGATGCAGTGATTAGTAGTCAGATGCTTTTCAGTGTCCAGTTTAATGGTTAGTGTCTGTCTTGTAATGATGGATCATTTTTATTTAAAGTTCAGTATTCAGATTCCCATGATCATGCTGGTGAAACCACAGAACATTTTGATCAGTCTTTTCAACTCTATTTTTTAAAAGAATTAAGAAAGTGGGTCTGATAATGGATTAGGAAAGATCCATTTGTGAAGGAGAGAGTGACTGGAAAGCAATACCAAGATACTTGATGACAGCATAAGATTTAGTTTTTTAGACCATCTGCCTTCTGTTTCTAGAAAATGAAATTAAATAATTATGTGAATGAAAGGATTGTACTTTAAAAAATTTCAACTGTAATTTCCTTCTACATTTCCAATCCTTTAATTATAATTTTCAAGCTTTGCATCTATGCAATACAGAAAGTTATTTCTTTGTTCTGCAGAATGAAATTGTGTGTACATTCCACTTGTTAGGAAAATAAAGCTTATTAAAAGACTTGATATAATTATAGTACCTTAGACTAGGCTATTAAGGACAGTAGGATTAATGGGCAAAAGACAAGGGTATTATTTTCATGAAGTATTGCTAAATTTCTTTTCCATAAAGCCTGATATGTTTTAATTTGGGAGATAATCAAGTGCATATCTTACAAATACCTTTTTAAGTTGAACAGTAACAATTTAAATTGTTATTCACTGATTATTTCAGACATTCATTTTGCTTTCTTATATATTCTGAGACTATATATTATTTTACATGTTGCTAGAAAAGCTTTAGGAGACACAGGCTGTGACAAGCACAAATGAAGGGAAATACAAAAAACCTGAAAAATCACTGTTGTTTCTTCTTAGGGATTCTTTCAAGTAATTTTTTAAGTCAGCACAGATCCCTGATTTGAGGGTGTTAGCAGGATGCAAGCTAACGCCTTCTAGTTTGCAGAAGCAATAATGTGACTTGAGAGAGGTTCAATTCAATATTTAGAATAGAGGGGGAACTCTACTCCCTTTATAACAGCTGCTTTCATATATGTAAAACAAAATGCCCTCCTTTTACTTGTTCCTGTTTTGGCATATGCAGTCTTCTACACATACACAGGAAAGCAAAATAAACACGTGTACTATACAGAAGAATGTTCTTACAGAAAGCTATGAAATGCAAAATTTGTTGTGGTGTATCTCTCTTGTCCAAGTACACAAATTAAATAGAAAAAGTAGTTTTAAAGGTCAGTGATTTGTGGAACGTGTCCAAAAGAAAAGGAATGAAAAAAATGTTGAAATCTCAATTAACTTATCATCCTGACAGCTTTTTACATTGTGCAGATTTCTGTTACTTCTTGCAGAAAAAGGAAGTACTCTTTTGTAATTTTGTCTGAAGGAAATGTACAAGATGCATCTATGGAATGCACTGCACCTTACTGAACCTAGCAGGGTTGCCTGTGGAAGGGCTTCAGTCCAGGCAAGTCACAGAATATTATGTATGCAGAGAGGCAGAAGACTCAATCTGCATTATTGTTTGATATCTTGTGGTAGAAATGAATCCACAGTCAACTACACATTTTCTTCCCCCAACCTTTCCATAAGAAATTTATGGCTTTTTATTGTTATATGGAAGTATTTTAGCATCTAAGTGAGAATACATCCTCCATTAAAATGAAGCAATACTGCATAGGGTATTGATGTGTATTTTATGACTTTATGGGGAGCACAGAGCTTTTCTCAAGTACACAGAATTTTGCAGCGGCTCCTTTAAAAGATTAAAGGCAAAGTGATTCAGAGGTTTTAAGAGCCCTGTTGCCACTTGTTCCAATTCTTCAAATACAGGCAAATTTCAGCATCAAGTCACTGCAGTTTGGAGATGAGCATGTAAGGTAACTCATGGATTTAAAATCTCATTCCAAATCCATTACTGTGAAGCACTAGACATCCAAATGTCATGAACACGCTTGTTTATAGTAACCTTTTGTATGCAGTGTCCTCTTCTGCCTTGAGTCAGCCAGAGGCTGCAAGTCTAAAGAAATGCCCATTGTAAATCTCAGTGAAATTAACTTTCTGCAATGTACGTCTGAGTTTAAGTGTTTCTTGCATCCATCTTTCATAGCAAGCTTTTGGACAATCAGGCTTCTTTGTATGTTTTCTGAAGTGCCAGTGTGGGAATGCCACATTTCCCTTCTTCTTCCAATCTTACCTTACTTTCCTTTAGGTATTTTCAGGAGTGGAAGTCCCCATTTTGCATAAAACTTTAGGAGAGGTAATATTAATTTAAAAGCAGAAAAACACCTACATTTTACAATTGCGTGATCTAACTCTTTTTCCTTATTATTCCATTGAAGGCTTTCTGTACATATTTGCTTTCCCTCCCTCAGTAAATATTCTGTTTATACAGGAGCTATTCTCAGTGCCAGATCCAAGCAGTGCAGAATCCTGCAAAAGCTTTGCTCTGTAGAAAATCCCTCTGGAGCTTTAACTAGGACCTTCAAGTTGTCTGTTTGCCTTGTCCAGCAGATGGGCACATACAGAAGAAATCATATATTCCAGGAAACGAGTTTGTATCAACCCATTGATTAGGGACATCTGAATACTAATTTGATTTGCATTATAGATGACCTTGGTGAGAGTAAAGCGATGTACAAATTGAACAGTGCAACTGGTGTTCTGTCTGCTCTATTTTGCTTTCAAAATGTGATTGTTTAGTCTTTGAAGAGTTAGAGTACTTTTTGGTGAACTTTGTTACTGAGGAACATTAGTGAACTCCTGTGTCTTTGACAGAATACAAATATTCCATGTGAATTCTGGATGTGTAGGGTATGGCATCTGTGCAGAGCTGATGCATTGCTCATTAGAACGTGCTATATTGCAGTATGGAGTGCCAGCAGAACTGCAAGAGAGGGGGTCTTTCATCTGTACAGCTTTGTTTTCAAAACTTCCTAATAAAATGATCATGTATTAGGATCATAGCTTAGATTAATTCATAATTTATAACAATAATTGTTATGAAGGTGCTTCAACCTAAATAAATCCACAGAAGTGTTCCTGTGCATATTGTTAAATATTCTGCTTCCATATCACTGTAGTGTTTCTGCTGTGACTTGACTCTTCCAGGCACAGGTAGCCTTGTATAACTCAGGCTTTGCCTGGATTACTTACATTGCACATTGATAGGTCTGGGTTGGTATGTTAATTCTGTGTTCATGTGGATTTTATGGGGGTACTGTAGATGTATAATCTGCACACTCTGAATGGCACTTATATGTCACCTATCATGTTTCCATTGATCTCCAGGCTATCCGGTGCACTCTCGTGAACTGTAGTTGTCAGTGTTTCAAACCTGGGAAAATAAATCAGCGACAATGTGACCAATGCCGGCATGGATGGGTAGCACATGGTAATATCTGTTTTTACAATCTATAGAAAACCATTTAGGATCCTCATAACTATTACATGTTTTTCGTGTCACTCCTCAATCCCCATCCCAATGTTAGTTGCATTTCATTTTCTCTTTCTTGGGACTCCAGTTTATTTACATTTTGTGATTTTTATTTTCAGCCCTGAGCAAACTAAGGATTCCAAACCTCTACCCATCAAGCCAAGTAGAAATAGTTCAATCCAATGTTGTCTTTGATATCAGTAGCCTCATGTTGTACGGAACCCAAGCCGTTCCTGTGCGCCTTAAAATTCTGCTTGATCGGCTTTTCAGTGTTCTGAAGCAGGAAGAGGTGATACAGATTCTCCATGCTCTGGATTGGACACTGCAGGATTATATACGTGGATATGTGCTACAGGTATTTAGAGGGGCTTGTAAAATAGAAATATGACAGTTAAGTAGTTTTCTATCTTAATCTTCTCAGTGGTTCACAATGTGTTAACAGTGTGGCACATCTGAAAGGCAGTAATAAACCTGTACAAGCTAATGCCAGAAAAGAAAAGGTGGATTTCTAGTGATTGGTTTATTTCTTAGTTGGACTTAATTGAAAGCTTTCTATTTGCTCAAATCTAACAACAAAGGTAAGCAAAAAATAAAGATCAAAAGTTACTGGTAATGTATCAAAGTAAAGGCTTTAGAACTCGTTCCAGTATTATTTAAACAGTGAGTTTGCTTTTATACAGCAGAATAATACATCAAGAAATAAACTTACCATTATTTAAAACACCAGGGACAATATTCATCTCTGGTAGTGCTATCGACTTTACTGGGGCTGCAGCCAGCGTGTATTTGGCCCTATGTGCTTACACTGATATTAGTCCTTGCTGCTGTGGAAGTTACCTTTTATGTAAAGTAACATTATGATCTTACATTATGACATGAATCAATATTTAATGGTCTTGATAATCTTGCTTTTTAGTGTTAGGATTAAAAATATGGAATCAATTACCTTGAACCTCTATCACATGAAAAATTTATAATGTTACGTTCTTCATCATCTTAGAAACTCTTACATGCACTGTGAAAAATCTCAGTAGGCCATCAAATACATGTTCTGTGATAAAATATTTATTGTAGTTATTGGGAAAAGTTAGGCATAGCTAGAGTTTGAAAGAACTCCAACACTAGTGTAATTACAGCTGTGCTCTGTGAAAACTGGCAATAGATCGATATAGGTTCATTTGTTCTCTGATCTTAGTTGCTTGGAAGATTATTAAACTTGCAATGAAAGAATACTTGACTTAAATGAGGAGCTAAATCTTGGTCTGATTGCTCCATCTCTCCTGTCTGTGCTTACAGGATACTATCTGTTGTTCAAATAACGTGTCTTAATTTTTGTGCAAAAAAAAATAGTTTATTGGAAAGTATTACTGTCAGTTCAGGAAGAAATAATATCACCAATGTGATAAAATTTGGAAAAAATTATCACAGAATTCACATTAATCTCATTAAATGGAATGTTTTTGATTTTTTGCTAGAGAATAAATTTTAGTCCCTGAAAAACATGAGAGATTTGAGGGGAAGTGTTTTTTGTTTGCCTTAACTAATGTCTAACGCATTTAAATATTTTTGGCTTTAGGATGCTTCAGGAAAGGTGTTGGATCACTGGAGCATAATGACCACTGAAGAAGAACTGGCTACTCTGCAGCAGTTCCTTCGCTTTGGAGAAACTAAGTCCATTGTAGAGTTAATGGCAATTCAAGAGAAAGAAGGGCAGTCGATCATAATACCACCACCAACTGCCAATTTGGATATTAGGGCATTCATTGAGAGCTGCAACCCACACAGTCCTAATTTTTCTGCTTCCTTGGACAAAATGAGTCCCACCAGCATTCATCCCTTTGAGAATATTGTAAATAGCATGGCTTTCATGCTGCCGTTTCAGTTCTTCAGTCCAGTGCCTCCACCTTTGATAGGCTCACCACCAGAAAGACATTTGATTGAGCAAGGTCAAGACCATAGCAACGAAACCAAACAAGATCTTCAGATACCATTTTCTGAAAACAGTTTCTTAACTTCTAGTTCCACACCGTTTCAAGTTGAAAATGAGAGGAGCATAAATGGTCCAGATATCACTAAAACAGAAGATGATGCCCTTTTAAGTGATTCCAGTTCACATAATACAGCAGCCAAGCTTGAAATGACAGCACTATCACCAGAAAACAAAATGAAATCTGTTGAAAAGAATTCTGGGCCTAGGAAAGGGCGTGTCTTCTGCACTGCATGTGAAAAAACATTTTACGATAAAGGTACTTTGAAAATACATTACAATGCTGTTCATCTGAAGATAAAGCACAAATGCACCATTGAGGGCTGCAATATGGTGTTTAGCTCATTGCGTAGTCGAAATCGACATAGTGCAAATCCTAACCCCAGACTCCATATGCCAATGAACAGAAATAACAGGGATAAAGATCTAAGAAATGGTTTGACCATTGCTGGACCTGGAGATAGTAAAAGGACAGAATTCACAATTTTAACTCCGGATAGCAGAACTATTTCCAACTATGCCAGCTCTTGTACAGATTCAAAAGGCCAGGTGGGATTTTCCAGTATTGGACATAATGGTGTCCTCTTTCCAAACCTGAAGACAGTACAGCCCGTTCTTCCTTTTTACCGTAGTCCAGTCACACCAGCTGAGCTTGCCAATACTCCGGGTACTCTTCCTTCTCTGCCTCTTGTTTCTTCCTCAATACCAGAGCAGCTTGTTTCCAATGAATTGCCATTTGACGTGCTTCCCAAGAAGAAGTCTCGTAAGTCCAGTATGCCCATTAAGATAGAGAAAGAAGCTGTTGAGACACCCAATGAAAGTAGCGATGTTGCCAGTTCTGAAGATGATTCACGCCTGCAGGGGGTAAGCGATGGAGAGCTTGAGACCTGTGAGCATAAGATAGAGAAGCGGGTGACCGACAGGGTGGAAAAGCACCCCCATTCAGGTAATTCATGGAAATCTCTCTCTGGGGTAGAGGGCCCAAAGTATTTTGAATCTGTCTTTGCACCAAATAACAAATACATCGAGGATATCTCTGAGAATGAATTGCAACACTGTGAGAAAGAGGTTAAACCAGAAGAAAACCAACCATTAAAAATAGTTTCCCATGAGATTATATATGAAGATCCAAAACACCACCACAGTGATGTTATAAAACCAGTGACTGAACCCCCCATGTATATTAAAGAGCAGTCAAACCACAGGATTCCTAAAAATGACTGCCCTGAATTGCAACACCACTTGCTGACCGGGGGCTTTTTCAGCACTTTGTCAAACAGGGGTGCTGCCATTCCTTGTTTTGAAGACTCTAAAGATATGGATCATGTCAGTCAACATGCACTAGGGATTCAGAAGGAAGAAAGCCGCTTTCATTGTGACATCTGTAAGAAGACTTTTAAAAACCCTTACAGTGTAAAAATGCATTTCAAAAATGTACATCTCAAAGAAATGCATATTTGCACAGTTGAGGGCTGTAATGCTGCTTTCCCTTCTCGTAGAAGTCGAGACAGGTAAGAAAATTATAAACAAAATTGTATTTATTTTACCATCACAATGGAGCCTAATTTGAAATTAAAATGAGTGTTTGAGGAATGGAGCCTACAAATATTTTCTGTGTATCCTCGTATAACAGGTATGATAACTTATCAGAACATGCTTGAAATGAAAATCCATTGAAAGAAACATTTCCTTTCCACAAGACTACAAGGTATTAAATAAAGCTATGAAAATTTCATAACTGATAAAGACTGCAGTAGTTGAAAGAATACTTTAGTACATAAAGGGAAGGCTGTAAGGGTATGAATTCAGCAATTTTCCAGTAGATGCATGTGTGGACTTACATGTTTAATATGTACTTTCATATCTATTTTAATGTATACAGTGTTTTTAAAGAAAAAGCAATGAGGTCATTTTAGGAAATCTTCACTTGCCCTTGTCCTTTCTTTACTCGAGGATTTGGAACAGACTGGTGAGAAAAAGCCCATAAGAAAAGCAAGATTAATCTTTGTCAGCCCAAAATTAACCTTGTGCAGTGGTAGTCTAACACTATCTGGTGTTTACCCATATCAGTAGTGCTTTTCTATGAGATTAAATACTAATTTCTAAACTAAAGCATGAGCTTGATTCAGTTTAATGTTCATTTCAGTACTGTATTGCTGTAATTCATTTTATTTCAGCCTATTACGCATGTTAACTGAGTAACGAGAGCCAAGGTTTTGTTGTTGACCATCAGTAATGTATTTGAAGTGGTCAGATAGGTAACAAAGCTATTCAAGTGCAGCGAAGTGTTACAAATTTACCAAGTGTGTGTAGGGGTGTTAGAGCAGCTTTTGGCTGCAGGGAACATGCCTGGATAGTAGTTCAGCGTGACACAAGGTTTAGATTGTCTGTAATCTGCTAGGAGTGCTGGAGCCAGCTGATGCAATCCAGAGAGGATGAGCTGGTCTCTGAGGACTGGCTGCTGCATCTGAGATGCACAGATTCATCTGCTGCTGGCAGGGCTTCATACCCTGCTGCCTGCATCTTTCCAGATGTGAATTCCTCTGCACTGTAAGTGCGATATGGGCCACAGGAAAGAAGGCCAGCAGTAAGATTTGCATTCACATGCCACAAATTCCTTCCCACACCAATATGTTGAGATAAGTTTTCACATAGGTGCTTTTGGAAGATGGGTTAAAAAAAAAAAAAAGGCAAGTGAGCTCAGAAGACATTTTACAAGCTTTGTAAGCTTTGTACAAAACAATAGTTATTTGTAGCAACTTTGCAGAAGTTTCTAGACTAACACAGAGTAGTGTGACTACAAGTGCTAAATATTTGTGTGCCTTTTTGAACAATTCATGGTTCTGTTTAAACAATGAGGGCGAGGAGAAAGACAAATGTTTTGTTTGTATTACAATAAACTCAGCCTTCTAGACGGAGCCTGTAAGTTCCCAGTGAGAAGATTGGTAATATTCAATGAGGAGCAGTGATTCTATATGCTTTGGTGGTTTTAAACTGAACCCAGAGATGCCCATTTGAAAACTGCCAGTTGCATATAATTCAATTTTCCTTTTTCAAGGATAGTCCTGTCAAGAAAAGGCTCTGTACTGATGTGTACAGCTGCATCCTGGACATGGTTGCAGTACATGATATCATCAATATTTTTTGCAGATTCAGATGTCAGTCTTTTCCTGCTTTGTCCGTTGGGAAAGAATCTTGTTTCTTAATCACCTCAGTCCATTCTCTGATCTCAGTTCAGTTGACAGGTTTCTGGTCTGTCCCCCACCTCTTTTAGACTTAGCACTAGATCTAGCAGAGCAGACAGCTACCCCCAATGCAGGTGATTGCTGTAGAGTTATTGCATAGAATTTGATATATGTCAGTGCAAGCAAGTTCAGAAACCCACTCACATGTGTAAATTGTCCATGTGCACTCCCAGTGTAGTAGTTGGTCAAATCTGAAGTATACAATTCATGCATGCTACTAAATATTGATTTTTCCCTTTCTTTGTTTATGATCATTATGAAACAGCTGTTAAGTGAGGTGAAACACTTTCTTGCTAAGCTTGTCTTTGTTCTTCTAGACATAGTTCAAACCTAAATCTTCATCATAAACTTCTGACTAAAGATACACTGGAATTCAACAACCATTTCAATGCAACATACCTCTTGAAAGACATGGCTAAGGAGTTTTGCCAAGATGACTCTTTAAAACAACACGTTGGACGTACTTCTGTAATCTTCAAAGGAATGAACAGAACAGGCAGCTACATTTTTCCAATGAGCAAAATTGCAGAACCCTGTTCTGAGAGTTATGGATATGATCCATTAAATGATGGAGCTGTTCTGGATCTAAGCACTACTTCCAGCATTAAATCTGAAAGCAGTGCTCATTCTTCTTGGGATTCTGATGGAGGAAGTGAAATATGCACCATGCCCTTGGATGATAGTGATGAAAGCTGTGAAGGACCCAGCCTAATGCCCAATGATGATCTCTACCAAGACTGTACTCTAATTGAGAAAGCTAATCAAAACTTTATAAACTTACCTTCCAGTTTGCCAATAACTTGTCATATATGTCAAAAAACATACAGTAATAAAGGAACTTTCAGGGCTCATTACAAAACTGTGCATCTCCGCCAGCTCCACAAATGCAAAGTCCCAGGTTGCAACACAATGTTTTCATCTGTTCGCAGTCGGAACAGGCACAGTCAAAACCCCAATCTGCACAAAAGTCTGGCTGGGTCACCAACTAGCTTACAGTAAGATCAGACTGATCTTAATTTATTTCTGCTAAGAATTAATCATTTCAATTAAGGAATGTGTTAACATTAGTTTTATTTAAGCTCATTTGACTTCTAGCTCACTCAACAACCACAAATTCTTTTCTCCTGTGTGTGCTCTCCAGCAGTTTCAGTTTGCAAAGCTTGCTGCTGTAGTTTTTGTGCAATTGTTTGATGTTGAACAGCTAAAACTTCTGTAAGGAAAAGAAGACATCTTAGAAAGGGGGGAAATAGGGAGACATTAATTAAAGTGTTTCTGATACCTGTGAAGTATTACTTGCCACAATAGGAGTGTCAAATGAGAACCATCATTACTTGTGTTTACATGTTAAATGGGTTGTTGTGTTGTGTAAGAAATGAGTAATGATTGGGGTAAGTTTCCTCTGGTTGGGTTGAGAATTTTGAAGCTGCCATTTCATTCCTGAGACCTTAGTCTGAAGTTGACTTGCAGTGTTAGTAGACGAGAATATATGTACTTAACTATACCCCAAAATCCAAAGGCAAAAATACAAATTTGGGAAGACTGCATAAAGTCCAAATCCTCTGAAAATCCTGCAGTCCTTACTCTTTAAGTTTGCAATTCATTTCAGTAAATATTACAGTATTTTGGGTTTCTTAGAATTTAATACCATTTGCTTTGCAGGAAAAGGGGCTACTTAATTTTTTGGCAGAATAGCCTGAATAAATATGAGACATTCTGATAAATTGTAGTGGTAGAAAGAATGAATAAGTTAAACAAAAATTTCTAAACTATAGCAAATGCATCCACAAAATAAGGGAACAGTAAGCCCTTTAATTTAAAATGCACTTTTTGAGTTCTACTTTCAGAAAGAGAATTTTTTTTGTTAAAAATATATATTAAAAAAAAAAAAAAAGGAAAAAGTCCCCATCTAAATATCCAAACTGCTTAGGAGCTTGAGGGTGCAATTCTAAGCCTCTGAGAGAATGTGGATGCAGTGGATTGATACATCTTCTATGATGCAGCAATTATTTTCTCTTACCAGTGGGGGATAACATGATCTTTGCAACTATAGAAGGATGCTTATTCTCATTCACACCTCTTTTTTTTTTTTTATAAGAAATTTGTTCAGTGTCTGTTAAAATGTTTCATATCTTTGAAGTTGCCCCTGTAATTAACAGTATTCTGCATTACGTTCTATGCACTTAAGAAGACTGGCCTTGCATTGTATTTAAAAACACTTTAATATTTAATTTGTACTCACATCATACAAATGCTGTGTGTGTACTTGTGGTGTGTCCTTTTTCAATCATTTGCAAAGAGGAAAAGAAATAAGAAAGCAAGTTTTACAGTACCTTTTTTACTTTATTCCACCAGTGGAAATCTGTTGATCAATTCTAGTATGCAAGCATGACATTGACAGCACAATCTGTACATATTATACCAAAGTGCTTACAGTATTTGTGGTTTCTAGAACTAGTCTAGTTTTCCAGTATAACTGGATCTTAGTCTTTTTTCATTTTTGTGACTGAATAGAAATAGACTAAAATTCAGGATTTCATATGTATGTAGAAAGAATAGTACAATGCTATTGCCATATGTCTTGATGTTTAACTTATTCTAAAAAATACTATGGTATTGTAACCATTTCATATTGTATAAAAGAAACAAATGTGGACTGATTATTTCACCAATTCTTTTGAAAACTGGTTTGTGTGTGAGTATGGGTTATGCAAGGAAAAAACATGACACAGTTGTAAATGTTTGTGCTCACTAGAAGTGGTTTCCATGCATTGTGTAAAGTAATCTTCTATTTTTTTAATTTACTGTAGGTTTATGTGATATTTAAAATAATACATTTGTGCTTGAAGCCGTCAGGAAAAAATACTAGCCTGCGGAAAGTCGTGCCATTGCTTTGAGGTTTTTTGTTCTGGGGGGAATCGGGGTTTTGATTTTTTGGGGGGAATAGAGTGGTGTTTGTTTTGTTGAGGTTTTTTCATTGTTGTTTTCTTCAGATTTTTAGTAGAAACTCCTATCAGTGGGGGTCATAGTTGGAAAGCTAAGGGCACAATCACAGGAGACACAATTGCTCCCAGCCTTTTGATAGTATAAATCTATTATTTGTTATCCAGCTATTTCAAGCTTTTTTTTAATATACATATATATATATATATATAAACATCTTTGTTTAATCATTAACTGTTTTTTTGAAGCAAAATGTGATGTAAACAAATGTAATGCCCATTTACTTAGTTTTCACTGTGTCAAAAAAAGAAACACATTTGTATACCCTAATAATTTTGTATGTGTTAATAAAAACCAATAATAATGCCTCTGATTGATTCAGAAAAGAAGGCTTTTTTGCTTGAAAATACTGCTATTCGTAATTTTGATTTTAAAAAAAAAGAAATGTTTCTGTCTGTAGAGAGCACTGGTTTGACAATGATACTAACTTATTCCATAATAAGGAAGTGTCATTATATTAATGAGCCATTAGAAGTAATGTAATAAATGTTGTCAGATATTTTATTTATATTTTTTTTCTTTGTGCAGTAGGCAAGGGTAGAGGTTCATTTAAAAGGTGTCAGCTAAACAGAAGGTAAACATCTCATCACTGAGATCCACACTGAAAGATATTTTGTGCCCTCTTTATTCTTTATACTTTGGAAGGGTTTAGTGGGGGTTTTTTGTTATTTCTCAAAAATCTGGACAAGATGGGAGATTTCTCAGAATAGGCTAGCCCTCAGTACTGCTAGAGCAGCAGATGTATCTCATGAAGCATTTGTGTAGCTCCCTCCTCCTAATGACCACAATGTGGCTGGACCAAGCCTTGACATCTCCTGTTAGTTTTAAATACGTGTGATGCTTATAGCAGCCCGTATCACATATTCACCACAGATGTTGAATGAAGGAACTTCACTTCAGAATAGTAGTACCATTATTTTTGGAGCTTTTCATAGTCAGTCTGGAGAGCTGAAGCAGCTTTCCCTGGCTGGGGCTCAATTCCAGAGATGCTCACATCTGCAGTCTGTGAGTATGTGCAGTTGGGGGCTCAACTCTTTGCCCGAGATTTGAACTGGGCCTGGGCATGCCCACCCTTGCTACTTAAGTATGTTGCTCCTTTATTATTTTTATCTTTTTTCTTCTCCCTTAGAAAACAAGAACTTCAAAAACTATATCCTGTCGTCTTTCTGTGACTCCAGAGGAGAAAGCACGGGTGCACACCTGGGGGTAGTTACTCCGAGCTTCCAGTTTCAGAACACAGGTATTCTGAATAGTTTGTGGTAGCAAATCTATGTCCCTCTGGAACAGTGAGTGTCCTGGAGCTTACAGGAGTATTTGCAAAAATCTATTTTGAATGGAGTGTAAGGGATCTGTTTTTATAGCCCCAGTTCTCTAAGTACTTTTAAAAAAATTGTGGCAAAACCAGAGGCTGTTGTTTCTAGTGAATCCTTAGTGAAGTTACACGCTGCAAAACCCAGCAAAGTGGACAAACAAGTTCTGAAAATACCTGTCTGATGCCTTGAATTGAATAGGGAAGCCTAAAAACAGCTAAACTACTTGGAACTTAATCCAGGGATTTTTAAGTAGAATGCCAGGTCCTCCTTGAAAAGGGTTCACGAGCAATTTCTGATTAATCAGCAAGCATAGATTTAAGAAAAGAGGCTAAACTAAAAACACCTTTAGAGTTTGAGATACAGCCCATAAGGATTCCATTCAGCCTGCAAGCGAGCATGCATTTCCAAGCTGAAATGAGAGTTTGAACTGGGAAGGAGACAACAGTGCAATAAGAGGAGGAAGGTTGAATCAAAGGTTTTGTTCAGAGCAGCATTTACTGGCAGTACCCCTGATTTGAGGGAAGGGCAAGACACAGTTTGAAGTAAAATTAAGTATGCACAGCATCATCGAGTCAGCTTTGAATGACTTGGAAAACTTTTGGAAAACTCTCGAACAGATTGCTGGCTAGAGAAATTTCCACATAACCTCAGCAAGCATGTTTTTGAAGGTAGACTGGCTTTTAATTTCCCCTTGCCTTCACCCCTCACCCCCTGGCTCCCCTTGCCTTTTGGCAGTCCTTGGATGATGTGAGGTTGCTAACTTGGAAATGTACTGTTGAAACATCACCCTGTTAAACTGCAGCCCTGTCAGCTCAGTTCCCTGTGAGCACCCTCCAGCTTTTCTGTGTGGTCTGTAAAGAGGCAAAGGAAAGGTAACACCGTGAAGTGACAGTCCCTCTCTGGTGAGCACTTTGTCTAACTCTGCACTCGTTTAAAGCTTCGTGGAAGCATTTGTAGCCTTTTATATTGTGTCTCTGTAGCTCCTACCCTAAACTGGTAAAACTGACTGTGAATTACTATCCATTATTGCCTGCAGATGCTTGTGTTTAATAAGCAGAGAAGTTGCTTTGATTGCTGAGTGCAATACTGAAAGGATTTGTCAAACTTGTGCTTGCCAAAGTCTCTAGCAAAACTCTTTGTAATTTGGACTGTGAGGAGTACCATATATCAGCATCATTCTATGATTTTTTGAATTTTTTTGTCTTTTCAATAACTTAATGCCAATCCAAATATGTTTTAAGTGTGAGCTGATTCTTTGCTTCAGTCTTTTAAATATTTGGTCATTATTCTTACTCTGTAGTTTCTGCTCATTCAGTGTAGGGATTTCCAAAATGTGTTATTATTATAATATTGCTCCTATTGTTAACTCCTGCCACTCTTTAGAAGCTTGGAAATTTAGGTAGAGGCAGTCATTGACAGCTGTATGCTCTGACAGTATTTTCAAGTCTGAGAAACGGTCAGGACTGTGGAATGAGTTACCGCTTTTTGGAAAAGCATGTTGATGGCTGCTTGAAAAAAGGTCCTAGATGGACATACCATGTACTAGAAAAAGCTCAAGCCTTTCCTGTCATACGATGATATGAGAGAGAGAACTCTGTATTTTGAAGCTTCTTCTTTGCCCTTTTTCAGTCTTTGAGTCAGACTGTAAGTTCTTAAGATGTGTGACGCATTTCCTATTCACTCCCT